ATGTATATATATTTATATATGTATATATATTTATATACACATATATATATTTATATACATATATGTACATATATATGTATATAAATATATATATGTGTATATAAATATATATACATATATATACGTATACATATACATCTTGACAATATGCGTTTTTGCTCACTGTAGTAGTGCTACAGCAAAAACGCATAAAAACTATAGATCAAATACTAAAGCACCACAAGCAGCATAGGTGGAAACGAATATTACTACACAAGAATGTCACTTTTGTTGCGTTTTAGCATGCACTGTCGACAAAACGGATAAAAAATGAGCAACTGTACAGTACCGGTCAGCATTGTTGTGAAACAAAGAACGTAAAACATACAATTAACAAGAAGTACGCTTGCCATACTGTCTGCCTGATATTCCTGAAAATACTACTGCGCTAATCATTGAAAGTAATGGAAAAAAAGAAATACGATCATTCAAAGTTTTCTGCCGCTCCAGCTCTTCCCGAAAAAGACAATACGACAAAAACGTTCCAAATGAAAGGTGTAAAATCCCACTTAAGCCGCTTCTTTTTACAATCCATTTCTTTATTGTTTTTATTCCTCTCTTTTCCTCTATTATCCTACCGTTTCATTAAACATTTATTTGCTCACTGTGATTTGACATTACTACAAACGTAATAGATTGTTGTGTACATGATATTAAAGTAAAAAAAAAAAAAAAATAAAGCGAGGTTGCAGTACAAAGACGGAAAACAAAGGAATAAGTCATATATGCTATAAAAAAATGCTTCACTAGGAGCGATGTACAGCCTTTATCGGTCGAAATATTTCGATATTTACTAAGCATTTGCATTATACAATATAATACTGTTTACCTTATATCCATATTGAGTTAGGATCATAACGATAACGAAAGGTGCCACTGACTGCGCTGGCCTAACCAGTAAAGCGGCTAAACTGTACACTGTAGAAGAAATCGGTTTTCTGCAATACAGATACTTTGCAGTTGCCAAGAATATCATATTTACAAAAACAAATAATAAAACAAAGCGAGCAGTGGCATAGGCGCACCTAATAAGTGGGAGAGTCCCAGAAACATTACAAACATGAAAGTCCCAACTGATGGTATATAAATGTATATATATAATAAGATTACTAACTGGGATCAAAATGTCGACCGAAGTAAATTATCGCGGTGTAGGAGTGGCAACGGACTAGGCAGTGTCGAGGCACAAAAGTACAAATTGAGTAACTCCTAGAATGTCGAGGAAGTGTGTGCCGCATTTTGCCAATCTAGCTTCGAGTGGTACGAGACAATGTCGGCGGTTCCAAATACAGTACAAGGGAGAGAAGACAGCGGGGAGAAGGAAGGGGGAAAGGGGTGAAAAAAGCGGAAAACGAAAGATAGGCGTATACTTCTTCCTTCAGACAAAACTTTGATGAAACTTGATAATTTTATTAGAAAAATCAACAAGCATACAATTACTTTATGTTAGGTATGCAATATTCCAAGTAAGCAAAGCTCACACTGCAATATTCCAAGTAAGCAAGATATTGAACTAAAAGAAAGCCGATTTCTGAAACAGAGTGCCAGTCATCAAAAAGTCGAATTTAGAGGTGAAAAACTTACTGCCTTGAGAAATGAGTAGCATCCTCGTCAATGAAATCGGCTAAGAGAACTTGAAACAGTGGAGCAACTGAATGCACAGCGATACTGCAAAATTTTTTTGTCAGTAGTGTACGATCTAATCAAAATGATTGAGTCAGCAACACTCCAAAAAAAAAGTGAATGAGGCACGATCTAGTCACCACAAAATTCAACAAAACTAAGCAATGATAACAGAAACTGAATATTAGTTATAAAGTGTGCCAGACTATTGTAATTTATCTCTCTGTTCGAAGAATGCTGTAAATGATATCATTGAGATCACGTGTGAAAGAAAAACCCGACAAGCATGATATACTGATCATCTTGCTGACAACTGTGGACATCATGTGCCAGTAACTAGCACCGACATGAAGTCAAACGACCAAAGAAGTGACGCACATACATCGAACAAGCAGTGACTGATAAGCGAAATTATGCAGATCAGGACTGAAGGGCCTGGCACATCTACGCTCGGCGTCTAAAGACATCCCATTTGTCTTGGAAAAAGCACCATGGTAATAGCGCTTTTTAATAAAAGCATATTTTTATATAACCGCTTTTTTCTGATTCTATTAAGGTTTTATTTAAGTCTAAATGATCTTAGAACGTTGCTGTGACCCCCACAACAAAAAGTATGATCTGATGATGCTCACTTACTGTTGACCTGTGGGTATTACAAACCAGGAAGTGTTTCGCGGGATAAAAACCGCGAAAAGATGGCACTACTACCACAGCACAGAAAGGAATACCTATTGCAAAAAACAAATTTAAAGATAATAATCTAGCGTAGCTGCACCCAGCGTGCGAATCAGTAATATCTCAACGGACAGAATGATTCTGGCAGTCTTGGTTATCATAGTCGAGCTGAAACGCTTCCGTCAGCTTGAAAATGAAGTAATTCTCATTGATGACTGCGTGAAAATTTCGCAGTAAAAACGAGACCGGAATCCGCTTAGGATTTCTTCAGCCACAGAGGTCCAGCCTCTTTTATGTCCCGCTGGCTCAGTTTTGCAGTCAAATCTACCAAAAATTAAAAAAGTTTAAGATAGCTGCTCACCTATCAAAAAACATGAAGAAAATTATTACATATGGTTGATTATGTCCGAAAAATAGCATAAACGTGGAAGCAATAGTGGAAGCTACAAATGAGTACATGACGACTGCGGCAGCGCCTATCTTCACAATCATATTTCCACTCAAAATCACCAGCAGCTGCAATATTACATCACATTCCAGCAAAGAGGTACTATGTAACAAAACTGATGAAAAAAACAACTAGGCACATCAAAATCGCCAAAACTATTTTATAAATTCAAGTCAAAGCTATCAAATGTCCCTTAGTGACTGATAAGTTTAAGAAAAAAAAACTGTTATTCACTACTTTTTACGCATTTTTTATGCGTTTTGTGCTGTGTAACAGCAGTACAAAACGCATATTGTTACGGGGTTGTCTG